ATTCACAAGTCAAGTCACTGAGTTTAGTGCTCTGAATAATTAATACTGAGTAATACACATAAAACTTTTGTCAAAATAACGTATCAACTACAGCCGCTGCAAAACAAAGCAACAGAACTATGACATAAAAGTCAACCCGGTCGGACTTTTTAATCTCTTTAAACTTGAAAGGACTCATTTTAGATTAGGATTAGTGGGTCAGAATGAACTTCAAATGTAAACAGAAATCAGGAGTTCGCTTACAAAACAAGTTACAACCATGCATCATATAAGAATGAATGATATTTTTAATAAACTGCACTAATTTGAATGAATTAAGTCTAGTTTTTAAATATTGTCTATCAGGGATGTCCAATCCTGGTCCTCGAGGGCCACTATCCTCCATGTTTTCGATGTTTCTCTGCTCCCAACACACTTGATTGGAATCAATGGATTATTAACAGGATTCTAACATGAAGAAGTAATTTAACTATTGAATGAGGTGTGTTGGAGCAGGGGAACAAGTAAAGCATGCAGGATAGTGGCAATCAAAGACCAGGATTGGACATCCCTGAAAAGTAGATAAAACTTTACTTAAAATCAACATTAAAATGTAGAACTTTAACCATGAGTGTAACATGGAGCTTTAATACAAAGACTGTGATGCAATATAAGATTATACAACTAAAGCGCAGGACGCCACAAACGAACAAAGACCGAAACAGTTCAAACCATCATTTTTAAACATTTTGGAGTTAAGTGGAAGCAGGAAATTGAGACTTAAAAAAACAAAATGTAAAAAGAAAATAAAAATAAATAAATCAGGGGGGCTTTGTGACTCCAAGAAACACCCAGTGCGTTGAACTTTAGTGCACAGAATGACACCAGAGGAACAACAAGTCAAACGCTTCTTCAGTGAGTGGCTGCTTCTCATTTGTAAATGGTACACACATTTAAAACCAGCTGTTGAGCAATTTGCTCTTGAGTAGCTGTTGTTACACATTTGCTCGACTGGCTACAATTAAAAAGGTTGCAACTCCAGTTCAACAGACGGAACAGATCAGCAGGCATTAGATGTTTCACATCTCTGTCTTGTGCCCATGATGTTGAGAAAATACAACTTCCTGGTTCGTGCTCAATAATCCAGGTACAAAAATCCAACAAAGTGAAGTCAGGTCCTCTGGACGGTTTCTTTTTGTTGAAACGTCTTGACTTTTAAGATGAAACATTGTTGGATTTTCCTACCTGGATTATAGAGCATGAATCAGGATATTTTGAACCACTTTGGCCATGACTGCCTCAAACACGTCGGCAGAGGAGAGAGCGGACTCCAGAAACCATCTGAGCACCATCAAACTGTTTGACCACTATGGGAAGGTACCGTATTGTTTATAATTGTTTGTTGCAGCTTCTCAGACTGATGAAGTCTTCTGGATGAAAGACGTAACGTTTAAACAAGAAGAAACCATCCAGAGGACCTGACTTAACTTTGTTGTACTGCGAAAATATAATTCATTTTCCTCTTTTTGTTTCTTAAAAACAGGGAACAGTTCATCTTTTATTTATCTTATGGGCCATGGATCAACTTAAACCACCCCGCATCTTCCTTTGTAATGAGGATCTCTTTACAGAGGATGGAACTGAGACTGTCCATGGGCACTCAGGTGAACCTCCTACATGCTGTCTCAATGCCAAGGACCAGAGAAAACAGGTGACAGAAAGAAGACCTGACTGTCATGGGTGGTAAAAGGGCAACAAACTATGCCTGACATCTGAGCGGCACTGGTGGCATTGCCAACACAAACCCGTTGCATTGATACATGATGGAGTTCTCCATATTACAGTTAAAAATGCTGACACCTCACGTATTTTGAAATATTATACTACAGCGGACTACTTTCCATTAGTTTCAGTCCTAACTTGCAAAAAAGTTCTCAAAATATCCAATATCTCAGAGAAGCCAAACGCAACTGAAGAAACTGACATAAAAACCAGAAGACATCTTGAATAAAATGTGGAAATACTGCCTTCTAAAGCACACAAGCACTTTTCCTCAGGTTAGGAAACCGCAGCAACTAAAAACAAGAAGCCACTACGTCGCATGTTTCAATCATCACTTGTAAATGTCAAGTTCTGATAAATATTTCAAAGGACGACTCACATACTTCCTCTAGGAAAGGTGGAAACAATGGGTTTAAAGGCATCCAAAAAATTTTAATATTGCAAGTACCAACAAATATTGGGATTTGGTCTTTTTTTGTTTGTTTGAAATCCAAAATTGTGTAAGAATATATGTGCAAAAAAACATTTTGCTCAAATACCATTTCATCAAATTATAACCATAAATGTCTAATTATAAAACAAATATGTATTTTCATTTGGAAATGTTTTGATTTTCTTGAAAAATAATAAAAAGTTTAAAAAATGTGAGAACATTAGAGAACAGAAAGCAACACAGAATCAACAAACGATTTACTAAAAGCTGCAAATCAACGCTGTCAGCTGCCAACCGTACTCTTCTTTCAACTTAAAGCAATATTACCATATTTTTTGGACTATAAGGCACACTTAAAATCTTTTAATTTTCTCAAAAATCAACAATGAGCCTTATAATCCGGTGCGCCTTATAGTCCAAAAAATACGGTAATTACAAACCAAAACAAGTTTAGGTGCATTCTCTAAATGATGCCGAAAGGTATTCTGGAAAATGTGGAAACCAGTTCAAGAGAAGTGAAATAAACAGAAAAAAAACAAAACAAGGTAGAGCTGGAGCAACTAGTCTGTAACTAATTAGTTGTTTTGTTGAAGTTAATGGTGATAATTTGCTGTAATCCTACTCTTTTTGTTGTTGGTAGGTTACAAAAAGGAACGTGAAGACTTCAGTTGTTTATGAGACCTACTTTCTTTAAAATTAAATTATACATTTATAAACTCACACTGATTCATAAATCAGAATGATAACTTAGATTTTCACATTAAAAGCTGGGGTTAAGCATTAAAATTAAAAGGGACTTATTGTAAACTATGAAATCAAACATAAACAGGAGTACCACGTATGGCACATCTATAGACAAACTACCGGTATTACGGTAGCTGTTAGCGTCTGTAGCTGTTAGCATCTGTAGCTGTTAGTGTCTGTAGCTGTTAGCGTCTGTAGCTGTTAGTGTCTGTAGCTGTTAGGATCTGTAGCTGTAAGTATCTGTAGCTGTTAGTGTCCCTAGCTGTTAGCGTCTGTAGCTGTTAGTGTCTGTAGCTGTTAGGATCTGTAGCTGTTAGCGTCTGTAGCTGTTAGCGTCTGTAGCTGTTAGCGTCTGTAGCTGTTAACATCTGTAGCTGTTAGCGTCTGTAGCTATTAGCGTCTGTAGTTAACGTCTGTAGCTGTTAACGTCTGTATCTGTTAACGTCTGTAGCTGTTAGCGTCTGTAGCTGTTAGCGTCTGTA